CAGTTTTAGGAAATTCCTTGTATTTTAGGACTTCCTATTTGAGCTGTGCTTAGTTGTGATTGATTATATCCCCTACCTACACAATATTTTTAATGGTCTAAAATGAAAGTTTTATGCCTGTCCTAATTAGTTGTTCAGTGGGAATTTTTGAAAGAAACAAATTAAAAATTCACATTCCACAAGTATAAAACTGAACTGAACACACGTTTCTGGAACGTAAGTAAAAACCAATATAAACATGGCTAAACAAATCATAGTAAGTGACTTTGCAACATTTGCCCTTCCCCACTCCCTTTTAAAAATGCATTTACAAGCAAAAGTAACACAGGCTGTCCTCCTTAAGTGTCACTTGTATTAATTTCTAAGGCAATGAATACATTTGACTGCACAGATGATGTTGATTGCATTTGCAGGCTACATATGTTTACATGAAAGCTGCCTATCTCAGCATGTTTGGACCAGATGACTACAAGCCTTTTGGGGAGGATGAAGTTGAACTGTTTAGGTAAAGTTTAGAAGGTCCCAACTGGGACAATGTTCCATTCCTTATCTTTTCAAGTCATGTTTAGCTGATTGTGTTGGGGAAGGAGAGGAAAAGTTGTTTACTTTGCAGTTAATAAGATATAGATGTGTGAAAATGTGATCAGAATTTGCTAAAAAGATCAGCTTTCTCCAGTGGCAGGCCCCCCACAAAATGCATCTGTGAAAGAAAATGCAGTGCTGTTGGACATGCTTGCAATAATTCCAACTGACCGTACTTTGGAAAGTTCTCCGTGGTCTCAACTATGTATCAGCTTCCCATAGGCTTTGAAATACTTTGCATTACGATAATTTTCTGGTCTCTGTCACGGTGGCAGCTGCTATTACATACAACACTTCACATGTTTTTTTTTTTAGTTGTTCTCTGTAGTCCACCTTGGAAAAAAAATTAGTTTCCTGAAAGCTGTGACTGGTTTTTACTACAAGAGGTGTGCCTCCTATTAAAGATTCTTACAGACAGCTTCAGAATTTGATTGTGGGGCTTTGAATTTAGCAGAAGTATGAAAGGGTTAAGAAGATGGGAACTAGGGTGAATAAATGTGTTCCAGAAACTGTAATTTGATTCCAGTCACAAAATGCCTAACTGCTATTTCAAAGTAATCAGCCAGTGTAAGTGAAATTCTCCTGTAATGCAGTCACATTTTAAGTTATGTCATTCTGGAGAAGATGATATTTATCACTTACTGTATTAAAAACCTGTATTGTGGTATGAACAAACATGAATGATTCCCTGCAGATTTCCTGTTGCTCACACTGATTTATACACTGAAATGCACTGAAACTGTTCACAGCATCTGTATTCTGTGAGAGGTCATTGCAAGCAGATTTCATTGGGTTTGGCAGAGGTGATTTTTTTCTTTTGGCGTCAGTCTTTTTCGGTGGATTTGTCTTTGAAATTTCTTTCCTGCTGAATGTTGTTTCCTCATTGGTTGGAGTGCTTTTTTCCTGATATCCAGAAATAAAAAATGTGGCAGGGGCCCAAACGATTGTTAATACTGTTCTTAATTTTTCAGAAGTGTGCCTGGTTTGAAACTGAAAATCGCAGGGAAGTCGCTGCCTACGGAGAAGTTTGCCATTCGGAAATCTCGACGCTACCTTCCCTCAAATGCCGTCCCTTTGCCTGTGCCAGCTCTGGTAAGCAGGATACATTTTTTTCAACCTTCCTATATTTTCCTGTAGCTCAAAATATATGGACGCATATAAGATATTTAGAATGGCAGCCTCTTAGGTTACCAACTTGAAACCCCTGCAGGAGACTGGTCTGCTCCCTGAACACAGGCCGATTAACGCCAAAAACATGGCACCGGCCATAAGGAGTTAAGCTTGTCATGTACAAATGTTTTGCATGTGCAACTCACTATTTCAGGTTTCAGACCGAAATACCCTCCAGAGCTTTTCCTCCATTGTGTCTTAATGTATTTGCTTTGAGGTCCATGTAGTAGATGTATTCCATGTGTGACATGCACTGAGGCTGGCGAAAGGAAGCAGTGCAGGTACAGCTAGAGAGAACAAGCATCGAAGCATGCCTGAACTGGTATTCAGAGTCTTATCAACCTGGCTCTGAATGTTGCAGGCTGAGTTTGTACAATAAGCACGTATCTGTGGCTGGCAAGACAAAACCAGTCCAGCTCTTTGCAGGCCAGCCCAGATAAGGGCTATGTAGAGTGGATATATGTCCTCAGAGTACTGGCTGATTTTCAGCAAGGTCAGTTGAAAATGTCTGTTCTGGGAACTCATTCATGGGGCGCACAGCTTCCATGAGATTTAATTCTTGGAGAACAGGTGAGAACTGACTTCTCTGAGTTTGCCAAGTGCTACTTTTAACATCAGCATTCTTGACTAAGAGCTGTACCCATGGACAGACATAGCAGTTGAAACGTGCAGCCCCTTTCTCAACCCCAGCTGGGATGATTCAAAATTGTTGTGGCAGACGCTTGTTCTTCAGCTTAGAGGCGCTAGAGGAGGCTGCAGGGACAGGGAGGGAGCAGAATTGGGGGATGGAAAGACAGAATCCTGCCTCCATTGGCAGGAGTGGTGGGGACACAGAGGTTGAGGGGTCTGGGGGAGGAGATTCTGGATCTAGCAGGAGTCCAGAAAATGAGGGCAGCCAGAGGCATGCAGGTATGTGGCAGAGATGGGGCGGGGGGTGCCCTACAGCTGGGAAAACCAGGCTCCGGCTCCCAATCCTCCAGCCTCACCTCTCCTCTCCTCCTCTCAGGAGCAG